TTTTGGCCAATTGGAAAATATCAACTAAGAGCAAAAGATGGACCCACAGGAACAATTTTATGTTATTATATTAGGGTATAAACAAAGCATGATCTAAAAATAAGGGACGATCCCAAAAATATGGTGGGCTGCAGAAAAACGCAGAAAATGTCGGCAGAATACTTCCGAAATTGTCCAGTTATTCTCAACAGTGCCGAGTTGAGTAATTTTTGGGTAAAATTGGATCTAATTTATATCCAAGCATCTTCCAAGTGTTCTCGTCTTCATTGGACCACATACATCAGAGTGGACCATATCCAAAATACCCATTTTGCATGAGTGGGGAACTCTCTTGAAGGCAACTCTGGTTTGCTTCCCTGCCAAGCAATGAGCACACTTCTTTAGAAAATCCGTTCGCACACCTGGAAGGAGATTCTTCTTGGCCAAATATGTCAAGCCCTTCTCGCTCATGTGGCTAAGTCGGCTGTGCCAAAGTTCTACAATGCATTCGTCATCCACCGCATTTATCATAGGATCTGCAATCTTCACGTTCATCACAAGGAACACTTCTGCCCTCTCGCCACAATCAAGGATCCTTTCGTGAGTTTCCATTTTCCGTCTCGAAAGGTGTTACCAAACCCTTCATCATCGAGCTTTCCAGTAGATATCAAATTCATGCGAATGTTGGGAACATGCTTTACACCTCTCAAAACTAAGGTGTTGCCATTCTCAGTCTCCAAGTGCACGTCTCCCATGCCAATTGACTTAACAATACCATCATTTCCCATCATAACACTTCCGAAGTCACCGAGAGTATAGACCTGAAAAAATCCCTTCGCGATGTGACATGAATCGAAGCACCGCTATCGATCACTCAACTAGTCTCTTGGCAATCAACATTGACGGCATCCCCTTCATAAATGACAAGAAAGTCTTTGGTAGCCGCCGCTACCTTCTCACCATCTTCACCGTCTCCAACCTTCTTTTCTTTGCCTTTGCCATCCGGATTCTCCCAGAAGAACTTTCTACAATACCTCTTGATGTGTCTCTTTTTGCCCCAATGGTGACACTCAAGGTTGGCGTACCTTCCAGATTTGCTTTTACTTCGATTTCTATCATTCGGGCCCTTGATTTTACTTCTCCCCCGCCTTTCAACGAATAAGACATTCTTCTGTGAAGAAGAACCCTGTGATTTTCTTCTCATTTCTTCGTTCAGAACACTACTCTTCACCATATCCATGGAGCAAATTCCATTCGGGGCTGAGTTAGACAAAGACGTTCTGAACGTCTCCCACGAGTCTAGTAAAGTACCAATAAGCCACAACCCTTGTATTTCATCGTCAAACTTGATATTCATTCCAGCCAGCTGATTAATGATTCCTTGGAATGTGTTCAAGTGGTCTGACATAGTCTTTTCATCTTGTTACTTCAAAGCCATCATCTGCTTGATCAAACAACTTATTGTTCCTGGTTTCCTTCGCATACAACTCTTCGAGTTTATTCCACAAGGTCCGTGCATGCTTTTCTTCACTAACGTGGTTGAGGACATTATCATCTACCCATTGCCTAATGTAGCCACACACCTGACGGTGACAAAGCTCCCATTCTTTATCGGTTTTATCTGATGGCTTCTTATCGGTAAACACGGGCAAATAATAATCCTTCACATACAAGAGATCTTCCATCTTCCCTTTCCACACATGGTAATCGGACCCATTCAAGGTCATCATCCGGCTTGTGTTAGTCTCCATGATTTGGACAAGATACACGATCCAACCTGGCTCTCTGATACCACTTTGTTATGGTTAAAGCCACCAAATATGAAAATAACTTTAACCGAATAATAAGCACCAAGTCCAATGAATAACAACAATAACCACAAGAAATAGCAACCAAACGATGATCAAGAAAATTATGTGGAACATTATTGGACACAGGAAAAAAGAGACTGTTTTTTAGTCTCCAGAATATGCACTTGATTCAAATCAAAGGGCAAGAGGGGGATTATACAATATAAAAAGAAAAATAATTTGATCTCTCTATTATTATCAACACATTCAACTTCTACCAAGACATCTGCCTTTATATTAAAATCGATTTTTTGCGTAAAAGTTTTAAAAATAAAAATTCCTACAGATTTTTTTAAACATTAGACAAGAAATTCCTAATATGCGAGAAATATATGTAAACAGATTTGTTATAAACTTACCTAATATTTTCAAATTTTGAACAAAATACTAAAAACTATGAAAAACTTCGGCAAAAGACTTTGAACAACTTCGAAAAGCGATTTTGAACAAGTGTTAGCAAAACTTCACTTACTGTTATGATGAGAAAGACGAGAAAGAATTGAACTATTTACTGTTCAAAATCCGAACAAAATACATAAAAGTTACATATGTATGTTATAAACATATATGAACATATATGTTATAAACTTACCTATATATTTGTTAGTAGAGCTGGACAGATTTGTTAGAAACTTACCTATTTTTCAAACCCTGAACAAAATACATAAAAGTTTGAAAATGTTCGACCAATGTCATGTTCTCTTCGAAAAATGATTTCGAAAAACATCAAGATAATATCGAATTATGTATAAAATATGATATATTTTTGAAGCTTATTCAAAAAGAATTTCGAAAAACGACACATATCATTGAAAATAATAAAAAATAAAACCTATATTTAACAAAAAATATTTCAGCTCTTCATAGATTTGTAATATTATCGCCCGATTTTGACCGACCTGTTAAGATTTAGCAAGACAGATTAAGAAATCGGGACGAATATTTATTTTTCGATCACTACTGTTGGCCACAAAAACAACATTTCTCGGATATTTTTTTTTTATTTTTTTAAGTCTTTACTGGGAGAAAATCTCCGGTAAAACATTTTTTTGTATTGAATCTCCCTGAGTTTGTCGTAAGATCGGGTTAAGGATTAGGGTTTCAGACATAGTGAATAACGAAATAAGCGCCAACATCAAACAACAGAATTAGCTTACATCACTCAAGGAGATTATTTTAATTTATAGTCATGTTTTCATTGACATGTATTATATTTGATTTTGGCTACCCTAAAAAATTAAGTGGACTTCTAATTTGGGCTTTTTTTTATCATTCAATCCCACAAAAATTGTCATTTGTCTTAAATATTTGGCACATATCATTATTTATCAACTAAATACAATTATTTATTTTGCAATATTTTGCTGGTATTTTTATAGTATTTGTTTTTTTTTTAAATTTCCTATATTATCTATAATACCAAATACAATAATTATTTTAAAAAATAAAACCATTGTATGTCTTAATTTGAAGATAGTGATTTGTAGTGATGGAGATTCTATTGATAGACAAATCACAAACGTTGTATATAAAAAATGATTTAACAATATTTAGTTATTCTTTTTTAAAACATTTTTACAATGATTATATTATGATTTTTACGATTGTTTATATCTTTTTATTATATTTTGTTCTATTATAATGCTTTCCGTGCAAATGCACGGGTTATAAACTAGTGTGTATAATTTTAATGCATATTATTAAATCTTATTGAAGACATTGATCTAATAATTATCTCCACCCATTCCTTCATGTCACCTTCATTTTTTTTAATTTTTATTTATTTA